TTTAGGACGATTTCGATCAAACTTTAATTCAATTAACAAATCATTTTTTATTTCTATCAGTATGGATTAATTTTAATCTTTAATTTAATTTATTTTTCTTTTTTTTTTTTAATTTTAAGAATTAGAAAAGAGTATAACGAGAGTAATCTACATTAATAGAACTGGATATTGCAGCAAAATTTTTTTTAATTATATAATTTTTCGCCCCTAATCTATATATTTCTTTTTATATATTAACTAAAAATTAATAATATATTTTATGTTAACGAGATACGTATGACGTAGAGATACTATTTAACATTTAATACTTACGTCATGATGAATAATTAGACGCGATATGAATTAAATAGTTAAATAGTTAAATAATTTAAAAATTCTAAATTTAGATGCATTTTGTATATTAACGCGCAATTGTCTGCAAATGTGATCAATTTTAAATGTTTTTCGTTTAACAAAAGAATCGCAAAAGATTGATAATGTTCGTTAATCCATGTAATTACACCATGCATTAATCTTTGTTTCAAAATATTCTCGGGATTTCTTTAAACTACTATCGACACGAGAATTATTTTGAAATTTATATTTGACATTTATAAAAATGTGCAATTATAATTACATCATCAATATATATAAATTATACATAGGTATTGCTGGCATGTGCTCGAAAACGACTGTGGCACCTTTGGATAGAATAAAAATTTTATTGCAGGCGCAGCATGAGCATTACAAACATTTAGGTAAGAATACAATTTTTTTTTGCTAACGATAACGATGCAAAAAATAAAAAATTATAAATATATAAATATATGTATATATAATTATGAATTTATAATATGTATAAAATTTTGCAGGTGTTTTCTCAGGATTCAGAGAAATTATTCGACGCGAAAATTTTCTTGCACTGTACAAAGGCAATCTCGTTCAAATGATCAGAGCCGTGCCGTATGCAGCAATACAATTTACAGCATTTGAACAGTACAAACAAGTATTGAAAATATTAAATATTATAATTTATTCGAATTTAATGACGATATTTAATAATCATTTAATACCAAATAATACAATGTAACTCTGCTTTCTATTAAATTTAATATTCTATCTTATTATCTCAAATTAATATTTTATTTATAATTATTTTAAATCTTCTATTGACAAAAATTTTCTTAAATAGCTATAAAAACTAATATATTAATATTTACATAATTTCTGTCAGCATTTAAGAGGATCATCCGAGCAAGATTCGCACATAAATGGATTTTTAGCTGGAGCTGCCGCGGGTGTCACAGCGGCCGCAGTCACTTACCCACTTGACACTATCAGAGCAAGATTAGCCTTTCAAGTTACGAGCAATACACTTTATTCCGGAATCAAACACGCCACTGTGAAAATGCTGAAAGAGGTAAATACATTCTTGAAGTCTGTTGTCAAGAGATGCGTTAAATCTATAAAAAGATCTATTTGTGCCTCTGGACCGCGACATTAGCGGCTGTCTTGATAACTTCAGCTTGCGGACTGAAACTGTGAAGGTAAATTTTGAAGGAACGAAATCAGTCTTTTAATTTATATTAAAAATATCTAAATAGATATATTTGATAATACAGACTTTATATTCTATAATTTATATACTGTATACAGATTTTTATATACTATAATTTAAATTTTATTAAAAATTATTAGTTTCTCAATTTGTTTCTCTCTCTTTTGTCAAATTAAGATTTTGTTATTAAAATTTAAATAAAGAAATAGTTATTAAATATTACAGGAAGGCGGTCTTCGAGCATTGTACAGAGGTTTCTGGCCTAATATGTTGGGTATGGTACCATACGCAGGATTTTCCTTCTATACCTTCGAAAAGCTGAAATATTTAAGCATGAAATACGCTCCACATCATCTTTGTTCCGAGCACAAAACGAATACCGGTACGCAAAAAGTATATAACTTTCAATAAAATGATAGGAAAACTATAGTAGGACCATTGCAATATATTCTTCATTTTTTTCTCTTTAGTAACACCAATAATCATTGCAGATTTTTTTACTATTTTCATAAATATGAAAATAGTGAGAATAATGAGTTATAAATCAATATTTTTGATAAACTAAAAAAAGCAAAATTTTATATTTGTCTAGACATATTTGACTTAAAAAGATTATTAATATTTGAAAGTGTTAATAGTACAGAAACAAATCATTATTAACAATGGACAATAGGTGTTGAATATCGTACGACATATATCTTCTTTATTATAGGCGGTCTTACATTGAATATACCAGCAAAACTTTTATGCGGAGGAGCTGCCGGTGCTGTAGCGCATACCTTTTCTTATCCATTAGATGTTACAAAGAGACGTATGCAATTGGCTATGATGAATCCAGCTACACATAAATATGCGTAAGTAGTATAATTCAATAATGTACCAAAATATTAACATCTTGAAATATTTTTATAAGAGAGTCATATCCAGTTTTTTTTTATTAATCCATAAATGAAAAAAGATGAATAGTTAATTATTTATTTATGAGTAAATAAATTTAAATTTATTTATAGAGGTTTTTATTTAGTGTAAATTTATTTATTTATAGGTATATTGAGATATACCAATTCATACATAAAATTATTTTTTCAGGTCAGGAATGTTGTCCACTCTTAGGATAATATACATCGAAAATGGCATTGTGAAAGGTTTATATCGTGGAATGAGTATCAATTTCTTGCGAGCAGTTCCTTTTATGGCAGTTGGTTTTGCAATGTACGAAATAATGAAGCAAATGCTTCATTTAGACACTGGAATGAGACTATAAATTATATATAATTGAATTTATTTAGATTGGATTAGAAAAAATATTTTATGATATTAAGTTTTTTATATTGTATTCATATTTAACTTATTATAAAATAAAATAAGATGAAATAAACTGCAAATCGTATAATTTAAATATTTTAAATATTTTAGTAGATATTTGAATATATAACAATCTTTACTAATATTAAAGAAATAAAATTAGATAAATTATTACTTTAATATGTATGTATACATTATATAAATTGACAAAATTATATATTTTGAGAAAAAACAGAAATTTTGTATATATTATTTTAGAATATTTATTTGTACATATAACTTAGAAATATGCTGAGCTTTTTATCTTTATACATATTATTCATCTTTTTCACCATGTAACGTAAATACAAGTACTAAATAATAAACTAACAAAGTATATGATTTTTTTAATATATACAAAACTAATATCTCAAATTAATTTTAATTATTTAAAAACATGCATAGGGAATGAATTTTATACATTAAATGTTATATTCTTTATGAAACATGTTGTGAATATGTAGAGTGTAAGCAAAATCCTATCTAAATGTGATAATAATATCCCTTTATTTCTCTAATTCCTTATAATAAGATGACATTATATAATATGTTCATGGCATTTTTCTTTCGTTTTCGCAAATGTGGATTTATCTGATGCCAGATTATGCAAGTTAAATTAAAATATCCAAATAAAGCTTGCATTTAAAGTTTTAACGAGTATTGCTTGTAATGTCCAAATTCTATATTTATCATGTGTATAAATCGAATTAATCGATTTAAATATTGATCCAGATAAGTTAAAAAATTATAAAAGCTATCACAAAAAATTTAGTTTATTAGGATATACAAAGTTTGCTCCACACATATTGTAATATTCGAATTAATCATATAAATTTTTATAGAGTTAAATCTAAAATGAAACTAATTTCTCTTTCTCTCTTTCTCTCTCGCGCTCAAATAGCTAAGATTATTGTATATGGATATTAATGATGTATTTAATTTATACAATAAAAGTATTTACGAAATTTGGATAAACAAAAGAATATTCAATGTGTAAATAGATCTCTAAATATACAAGGCATTCAATTTTAATGAAAACAAGAATTTCAAAAATAGATGGATTTACATAAATAATTTTATATAAAACTTATACTAAAAAACTTATTTTTGTATTGGAACATATCACAATAAAATATGAAATAACTTATAAAGCATTCACTCTTTTCGCTAATCCTAATATTTTTACATGCAAAATTATAAGAATTAAAATTGATTTAAAAAAAATATATAAAAATTTAAAAAAAAAAAAGAAAGAAAGAGAAGACAATCTCTTTGAATTTTAAATACGATCTCATTTAGGAAAAATAGTTTTGCTAATCATAAAATATTCAAAGCTAAACAATTTTTATATAACATTAAATTTGTGTAAATCCATTCTTTTTTTTAGACATTTATCTTTATTAAAATGGAGTACCCTGTATGATAGTTTCCATGTATTTTTCACGCCAATATAAAATTAAAATATAATATTCATGTATAGATATTACTATGCATGTTTCAACCGAAACAGCGCATTTAGTAGTGTTTTATATTAATTTCGTCCGTTGTATGAAAATCGGTATGCAGTGAGAGGGCAATAAATAGAGCAGATATAAAATTAGCTATAATAGTTGCTGGTACCTATTATCCCTTTGCCGTACCTTTAATTAAATTCCGCCGCATTATATATAATACTACAAGTGCATTTTTGTTCTATAGGAAAATTTATTCTTATTATTGTAGTCTAGAGAATATTATGTATATACGTATTATTGTACGATAGAAAACGGAAAAAAAACAGAAGAAAAAAATGCTCAGCCTGCATTGTGCAGAAGGGTCGCGTTAACTCCGCGTTGCATCCTGTGCTGTATATGGATTTACAGTCTTAGTTAATTGCTATAATGTGCATCTAACACACATTTCACGTTCGCCTTGTCGTCCTCCGTCGTCTCGCTATTGTAATTGCTTCATTACGCATTATATTCGAATTGCAATGATTATTCTTATAAATACATTTTCGTGTGTTCGGCTCTTTGTCTCTTTTAGCTGCTCATTGTACACAAACTGCTCCTGCATTGAACGAATATGAAATTTGATAATGGGTTGCTTTGATTTGCATTACACATGTTTATTTACCAGAAGCATCATTTTATATCTATTAATTAGTAAAAATGTCGTCGGTAGGTTTACAAGCAATCAATTTTTGTTTAATTCAACCATTATGAATGCGTAGATTCATTCGGCATAAAGTATGTGTCTCACTTTAGAAGGCAGATAGAATTGATGCAAAAGTGTCATATCTTTTTTTAATTATTAATTATCAACTAGTACAATATATAATTCAATTTTATATTGCAGTTTGATGATTACATACACAAGTTAAATTTATGATATAAAAATATATAACTGATAGAAAAATAAATCAAATCAACTAAATTTTATATACAGTATTAAATATAATCATTTTGCCTAAATAAGGGGAAAAAATGTGAAGTGCGGATGTAGATATTATTCTCATCAATCCTTTTTATTGTACAAACGCGTATTATTTCGCAAAAATAATGTTATGGAGTAATAGAAAGCTACATCAACGAGAACAAGATTTACATTCACCTTTTCTATATTATATGGATAAAAATGTTTACCTCAAATGTTACCCTTTGCTTAAAAATAATAAATACTGTGCAGAAATGGCTACTCTAACAAAATAAATTGTTCATCATGATTCTGATGAATTCGTATGTGTAATGTCGTATCAAATTAAATCTTTAATATTTTTACCTGAAAATTATATTTATTGGCTCTTCATATGGCACAATTTACGCATGCCAATTTACTGTTGCATCAACTCACCTTGTATTTCCTTCAAGTGGAACATTTCATGCTCCATTCACACTAATAATAACGTGACACTCTCTTAAATATAAATTATGACCATCTTGGTATATTTTCTTGGAATCTTGCATGACAATCAATTTCATTTAAGACGCACAGTCACGTTCACAACACACACGATGTTGGCTTTATAAATTTTTCTCGGCAAGTTTTAATATTTTCATTCAAGATTACAAAATAATACCATTTTTCCAATATCTTTCGTTCTATCTATTACGCGCAGACGTGTGCATTATTATATATTCAGTTTTTTTTATAATAAAAATACAAGCGGATATAATAAAAGTTGTAAAACTCAATGCTACAAGTGAATTTAATCGATACGTGTGTACATTATTGTATTATTTTTTTCCTTTTCAGTGTACAAGTAATGTTGTGTCTACATGTATCATGTAAGGCACGCACAAAACGTGCGTGTAATCTATTCTATCTCTCAATGAGACACCACAAAGTGAGCCATGATATAATACTTGGGGCTATATGTGGTATGTGTGAAGACATGTCGGAGCTTCACACTTATTTAGCGATGTTCTATCGTAAGTTATGTTGTCTGGCGTCACTATAAAGTCAGGATCGCATTTTTATTCCCCTACCTTGACACTTAGCCCTGAAGTCTAATCCCTTAGAGGAAGTAGTCTGGCGTTCGCCTGGTAACATGTGGTTCTCCACGTCTTGGTGCTGGATCAAATTGTAGGCTATAAAAAAGAAAAAAATATCAAGATCAAACGTGTTCATTTTTTTTTAACATCTTTGATCTAAAATCTTTTAATAATAAAAGAAATATAATATAAACACAAATTATTTAAAAGATTTATTTGAAAAATTTAATTTATTAATTATTTAAGAAAATTTAAACATAACATGAACTTAATATGTATTTAATTGATTAATACAACAGATTGTAAACATGATTGTAACATGTTATGTTACAATATATTAAATGTATTAAAGTCATACTCACAATGAATATTTTAAAGCATCATCCAGTTCCATGATTGCAGCTTGATTTCCGCAACGATAACAGTAATTAGGTGCTGAGAATATAGTCACAACATTGCGATCATGACACCTGTAACAATAGCACAATATAAATAATATATATTTATCAGCTTATTAAAATATCCTGGACTGAGCTATATTCATATACATAGTAATATACATAGTAAATACATAGTAAAAGAAAACACTTAAAAACCAAATATTAAAATACTCGTACCAATTATATCCCTCCATAACTAACTGATGAGCTCGTGATACGAGTGTTAGTCCATTGGAGTGGTTAAATGTTTCTGAAATATCTTGACCAAAAGTGTATCCTGCCCCGCGAGGTGAAATACCCCATCCTCCTCTATCGTCTGGATCTGACCATAGCAAATCGCACATGGGACCCTATGTTAAATAACAAATAATAATAGTAATTAAATTTCAGTATTATAGATTTCATGAGAGTTGTAAATGTAAATACTAACTTCATGTGGCACTTCCTGAAGACGATCTAGAGCACGTATGTGATCTAAAGTGTCAATCGACGGCGATAGACCACCATGCAAACAAAATATTTGGCCATCGACCAACGCTGTTAATGGTAAATAATCAAATAAGTCCGTAAAGAATTTCCATACATTGGCATTCCCATATTTACGTAAGCATTCGTCATAAAATCCGTACACTTGCGTAATTTGCCTCGATTCATGGTTACCTCGCAGAATAGTTATTCTTTCTCGATATCTCACCTTTAAGTATACAAAACAAACAGGAAGGAAAGAAGAAAAATAAACTAAATACATATTTTTTCTTAATCATCCAAAGAAAAAATGATATACATATAAATGATATATTAGAGAATTATTTTATATATATATATATATATATATATATATATATATATATATACATACACATGCACATACAAATTATTACTAAGAGATAACTATGATATAATAAAATTATGTATTACCTTAAGAGCTACAAGCAAAGTGACAGTCTCGACCGAATAATAACCACGATCAACATAGTCACCCAATAAAAGGTAGTTTGTATCAGGTGATTTGCCACCTATTCTGAACAACTCCATCAGGTCGTGAAACTGCCCATGTACATCTCCGCATACTGTTACAGGACATTTTACTTCTTGTACATTTGATTCCTTAGCTAAAATTTCTTTTGCCTGAAAGTTTTAAAAATTATGAGATACTGTTGCCGATATGAGTGCTATTATCAAAAACATTACAAATGAAAGAATAGATTAATATATAACAAATAACATCATATAATTTAACATATAACTTAGATTTTTTGTACTTTAATTAAAAATTTTATAGGCAAAATAATGTACAAAGATTTATATTAACATGATAAGATATCACACTGGTAAAATTTTTCAGATTATAATCTTTATAATATCATAGAAATTCTAATATTTAGGTGGAAATTCTTCTTAATAAATGGATTTCCTTTGCCAATTAACAAATATAATTATTTGCATACATTTAGAAAATCAGACACGTTGGCCAATTGGCATAACTTATAGATACAACATGGTGCTGCATTATTGCTATAATACCATCTTCAAACATCTAAATACAGATTCATTCAAAGCTGAGTGTCTATTGAGAATTAAAAACTGAAACAAGCTTCAAACAGTAATCAAATGAAATATTCCTAGAATAATTTTGTACTATCCATTTTTACTAGTATAAATTTTAATCTTGATATAACTTACTTTTTGTTTTTCAGTTAAGAATTAGAGTAAGATAAAGAGTAAATTAAACAGAAATTAAAATTAGTCTACACTGATTGAAATAAATGATATGTAAAAATATCTCTTTCAATATTTTAATATTAACATTTCATCTCAGTTTACTGAGTATTCAAATAATATGTTGGTCAATTAAAACAATTCTTGATTATCACTACATTAGTTCAAACAGAATGATAAGTACTTCAGTACTCCATAAACAACTACATGATTCATAGACAACCAATATAATTTTGCTCATCATTAAATTCTCTTATCAAACCAGAAGATAGCGATAAATAATAGATGATACTATTGTTAGCTGTACAATAAATCTGTTCCTATCATTATCACAAAATGATAAGATTATCTCGTCTCTTAAACAAATCCTAAAACTACAAACTATGTTTGTAGAGGTGCATCTGTGTAAATTAATTACAGCACGATAACGGAGTGTGCACCTGTTGCAGAACTACGTTAACAGGTTCAAAACGGCACGGAGGGCAGGATGATCGATTAGGAACCGCAAATTTCGTCACTGTCGAACGGCGACCTCATAAACATAAGATTGCGTTCGTTGCGTTTACATTCGAGACCGTCGAGACAGAAGTCAGGACAGGACAGGACAGGACAGAACGGGATCGACGAGGATAGGATGGAAAATCCCGAGGTTACCCGCAGCATCCGGAAATCTTCGTGAACGCAACGAAAAGCCACGGGGGGGGATTATCCATGACACATCGTCGGGCCATGTTTAACGATGCGAGGTAGCGGAAGTCGGCGTGTACGAGCCTGTCCCTTCGAATGCGGCACGCGACAGCCGTGCGCGAATAATTAAACGCGAGGCGCGAGACGCGTTACCGTAACGCGGTAACGCGGAGGTTCTCGCGGCTCGGGGGAAACGGGGCGTAGTCGTTGCTCAACGTATGTGGCGATCGCGTACCTTATCGCAGAGAGTTTTCACTTGGCTTTCTGTCAGTTGTTTGCAGTCGTTTAATTGTTCTATCCACTGGTCAAGTTCCTTGAGTGACGCCTTCTCCTCCATCGCGTACCTGTTCCACGGTTCTGCACGAAATTAAACGCGGCCGGGCGGGCGGACGAGCGGGCGGTCGATCGCACCCCTATCTAGCGCATGTAATCCGTCGCCGCAAGCGTGTCCCTCTAACGCGAAACTAAATCATCCGACTTTATCTCCGCCACTGGCCGCGAGCCCGCAACACAAATACTCCGTGAAAGCGGAGAGCGCTCATTCACACACAAAATGGCCGAACGCGAGCGCCAGCGCGGTGACGTCACGTTGTATGCTCCGCGCATGGGGGCGCTTGCGATTTGTGCGCGCGCGTCGACCAATCGCCACTGCGACCGTCGAGGTCGCATGATTGGACGGATACGAATCGTGCTGCCATCGTCAGTTTCGTGATAAAGATTCCATAGTTTTTGATCGCGTTCGAAATGGGATGGATGCGACACAAGTGGAAGAAAGAAAGAAAGAAGGGAAGCGAGGTGCGTGAATAACACATCGGTTTAATAAATGCAAACGTGACGTAAGTGAAATGATAAAATGTGTCATCTGTTAATGAGCCGTGTTGATGACGAAATAATTGATCCTTCACAACATTCAAAGTATAATTAATCTCGCATTGTCACGCCGTGGAACTCGAAAAAAATTGCGATTCGAGATTGATCGACTCTCGGTTTTGAGTTCGAGACATTTAATAATTTATTTATGTAAAGCTTAGAATGTGCGTGTGTGTGTATGTGTATATAGATATAATCATAACAATAATCATTATCAAGATGGATCAACGAAGTCGCGATTACAAAAGTACTGCTATAAAATATATCTTATCTTTATATGTTCTTTGTTAAAAATAATCGCAAGGTAAAATTACTTTCATGGAAATATCTTAAAAATACAATTAGAATATCATTCGAAATTTATATCTACTGACTTCTTAATATAATCAATATATGCAGATGAATGTAAGTTTTTGGAGAAATGTATAATATAATAAAAAATGTGTAATTAGAATAATAAGAAGTATATATTAAGATGTTCAAAATGTGTAGAGAATTGTCTCAATCTATCATAAAGAGCTTAAATGACACAAAGTCCAAAATTAGAACATGGGATGTGAAGATATTTTTAAAATACTTTATGTTCTGATTTTGAAATTTGTATTATCTAAGGATTGACTATCTCTCATATTTTCTTTCCAATACATAAAAAAAAGAGGTTTTCGAAGAGCAAACTAATAAATCTCGATGTTGAATAGTTTTATAATAGCCTAACATCGAGCACGTTTTTAGTATACATATAAGTACTGTTATTACATGGCAAAGCCTTTATACAATGATTGTATCGAATACTGCAAAAGAAAGTAACAATGCAATGTCTGGATTTTCATTACATGGAGCCTTCATAAACAATTTATTTACTATACTATTTTTTTTAATTGTAATTTTTATATTTTACTCATTGTTATTCTCTGCATTGGCCCGTTTTTCTCTTGCAAAGAGTTGCATCCAGCTGTTCAAGCCATGGTAACAATAGCATGATTTTCCTTCTATAGTTTGGATCCTTCGCGATAGGATTATGTTCCAAATATACAGTCTGCAATTTCTTGTTGGCTGTTAAATTCTCCAATGTATTCCAGTCTTCGATATCATTATTGTTCATCTGCATATTAAATAATATAAGTCATAATAATAATACATGCTTACATAACATAAAAATATTTGTTGATTCATTTCTTTCTTACCCAGAATTCTTCAAGATTTTCAAGATGATTCATATTTTGAATCTTTTTAATTTTATTGTTAGCTAAATCCAATGTCGTTAATCCTGGACAATTTTCTATGCCTTCTATGCATGTGATACCATTTTCCGATAAGTACAATTGATCCAATTTTTTTAGCTCCTCAATATTCTCAATCTTCATAATCCGATTACTTTGTAGACTTAATAATGTGAGGTCTTTCAAGCTTTCCAAGTTTTGGATTTTGATAATTTTATTTTTACCCAGATACAAATTGGTCAGCTTCTCGAGACCCTCCAAATTTTCAATTTCACGTATCTTATTATCACCTAATTCCAATGTTGTAAGATTCACTAGATGCGAAACATTCTCGATTTGTAAAATTTTATTTGATGACAAAAATAATTTTTGTAAATTTAATAAATTGCCCAATCCTTCTATCTTCTTAATGCGATTAAATGATAAGTCCAGAAGTCTAAAACCCATAATTATTTGACTCATTATCTAAATTCTTCATTTAAAGTTTTCTATTCAGCATGCATTGTTCATTATAAAGAATTGAAGTCAAAAACATACTCTAGATTTATAAGAGCATCCAGATTTTCTATAGTCATTATTTGATTATCTCTTAATTCTAACTCAACCAAACTAGTGAGTGTATCAAGATTTTCTATTTTTTTTATTAGATTCCAGGTGAAACATAATCTACGTATTTGCGTTAGTGGTTCTAGATTCTCCAATTTGGTTAATCTCGAGTGATTGAAATCTAATTCCTAAAACATTTTAGTATAACATTTTAGTATAACAATAATACAGCTTGTCCATAAAACGCATTCATATCAACATGATGTATTCCTAATTTGAATAAAATTGCATTCTAATAACAAATGAATCAGTAATAATCACACACTTCGCTATCGGGATCTATAATCATAATCTTATCAGGTTCCTCAGATTCCTCTCCCTCATTTTCGACTTTTACCTCGGCGGAACCTCCCTCACTCTTATCCTCCTCTAAAATAATTGGATTTAAATCAGACATAACCTAAATCCGAACATAATTGTGCGCACGAAATTAAATTTTGTCCCGAGTCTTACCGTGATTAGCCATAGTCGAAACCGTGCGACGAAAAATGACAGGCGCTGATTTGACAAGTGGTCGACTGTCGATAGATAAAATCAGCTAAAATGACTTATTTAATGGTATATTCGATTTTAATCAGTACATACCTTCTACAACGCCCTACGATTTATTAACGATTAAAAAAAAGTTTACGATGAACATCATACGATACAAAATGACAGAGATCTACATGAAAGGTCAAAAACTATATATAAACGAAAAACCCATAGGCTCATATAGGCTAATAATATAAATAACAAATCAATCAAACACCATATGATACGTGATGTCATCCAAGACGGGCAAGTGCCGTGACTCAGTGCTCTTCGACTCTTCGACGTCAAAAAAGGCGCCAAGTACGGAGCCATCTGGCGTTGCGCGCCTGCAAAATTCATCTTTAAAGACTCTAGGCAATACCTAAGTGTCGGTCCACAATAGGTGATTTAAGCTTTAAGACGTAAGAAATTGACCAATTATAATCGAATATGAAAAGAATAATCGACTATGATTGGTCAATTTCTTACGGTTTAAAGATTAAATACTTATTGTGGACCGACACTAAAGCCAATATCATAACGCTTTCGACTGTAAATAATACAATATAAATAAATTTTATTGAAATTAAAATATTTCTCAAAATATCTAAAAAAAGGATGGAAAGAAACAAAAGTTACAGTCTGTGTGATAATAAAAAATTAATTAATAATTAATAATTAAAAATTTGTAAAAGTGAAGAAATGATTGCATTATTGTTCATGATGGAACAGCATTATTTTTCTATTCAGTATATATTGCATTGTCAATTACAAATACGGAATAATGACTATCTAAAAATCAAAAGTACAGGCACTTTCAACAGTACAGGCACTTTCTAGCAATACCAGCTTTTCTTCGTTGCATGAAATTGCATCTTTAGAAGTTCTTTTTTGTTGAGCCTTTTGCACTGTTCGCGTTTTCTCTTTTTTTTTTTTCCATGATAGAGAGAAAAGGTGAATCGTAAAAATGTCACTTAAAAAGAATAGATATATCATATATCTCTTTCAACACAATCACATATGATCATGATACGTAATCATGCTGAAAATGTCAAAGAGAAATTTTTTAGAATATATAAATATTAATGCTAAAAATTTTCCTACAATAAATGCAGTCTCATGTTGCGCAAGCGATATTGCATGTAGATAGTAAGATGAAAATAAATACATAATCAGGTGTTTTTTTAAATATATGTTTTTTTCAGAGGGGAAAGTCGCCGTCAGAGTTAATAAAGATTAAGTCAATTCTCGAGTAAGTCTCGAAAAAGTTGGAATTTTATTAATTTATCAATACAGTAGCAGTATGATTCTAAAAGGGATCAAGGTTTTGGAGTTAGCTGGACTTGCTCCAGGACCTTTTTGCGGTATGATTTTGGCAGATTTTGGAGCATCTGTCATCAGAATAGATAAGGTAATTAAGAAATAAATTCTACTGAATTTATATATAAATTAGCTTACTTGAAATAACAGAAATGAGTGATTATTATCTGTATTACAATCTAACAATAAATATAATAAATAGTTCAATTAAAAAAATATTGTTTTTATCTCATCTTTAATTATTCTTGTATCATATTACAGATCGGAGCTCCAGCATTAGATTCTTTGGGCCATGGGAAGAGATCAATAGCATTGAATTTGAAATCTGAAAAGGGTATAAATATTTTCAAAAAATTAAGTGATCAAAGTGATGTTATTATTGATACATATAGAAAAGGTACAAATTGTATATCATTATTTTTATCAAAATATTTATAAATATTAATAAGATTAAAATAAGGATTATGTAGATATTATGATTTTAAAAGTAATTTTTAATTTTAAATGAAAAATTTATCTGATTTGAATATATCATGTTTGAATATATAATTACTCTGCATTAATAATAACGAAATATTTTTAAGTTGCAAATATATATTATATACAGGTGTCATGGAAAAATTGAAGATTGGACCAAATGATCTCATGGCGACAAATAAAAAATTGATATATGCTAGATTAACTGGATACGGTCAAGACGGTTCTTATGCAAACATGGCTGGTCATGATATCAATTATTTAGGTTTATCTGGTAATGTAAACATACAATATTATAATATAAGATAATCCATATTATATATAAACAATTTTAATAAACACAGAAAAAGGAAAGATATATTTGTACAATATTTATACTGTATTTTCCAGTTTTTATCTTTTATTATAGTATATTCTTTTATTTATAGAACCTAATTTTTATAAGACTGGTATAAATTGTTAATGTAGGAGTACTATCTTTACTTGGTCGATCTAATGAGAAGCCTACACCACCTGTCAATCTGGCTGCTGATTTCGGTGGAGGTGGTTTGATGTGTGCCCTTGGGATAGTTCTAGCATTATACGAGCGAACCAAAAGCAATGTTGGACAAATTATAGATGCATCAATGGTAGAAGGATCAGCATACTTAGGTTCTTGGTTATTCAGATCTCAGAAGCTTGGTTTATGGGGAAATCCACGTGGTAGAAACATGTAAGTATTTTCTCAAATGTTTTTGTATGTTGTAAAAATTTTTTTAACAATCACTTTTCTCTCACATAGATTGGATGGAGGATCACACTTTTATGATACATACGAGACAAAAGATAAGCTTTACATGTGTGTTGGAGCGCTTGAGCCACAGTTCTATGAAACTTTGTTAGAGAAGCTTGGTCTATCAAGCGATGATGTACCACAGTACGAGAATTTTGAAGAAAATCGTCATAAACTGTCGGAAATTTTCAAGACGAAAACTCAAGCGGAATGGTGTACCATATTCGATGGCACTGATGCGTGCGTGACACCGTTGTTAAGTTTGGAGGATGCTGCATCACATGTTCATAATAAAATGAGACAGACGTTTACAGTTGCAGAGGGTGATGTAATTCCAAATCCTGCTCCTCGCTTATCTCGCACGCCTGGCATTTCTGTAGGGACCCATCGAAACCCAGAGCCTGGTGAAAATACTATAGAAATCTTAACTGAATTAAAATTTCGGTCTAATGAAATTGACAGTCTGTTATCGAACAAATTTGCTTATCAAGCGAAATATGATTCTTCTAAACTTTAAGCCTATCAGATTTGATATACATTTAAAGAATTCTTTAATCCAAATAAAATTCTTTTATAATCCAAATTTTTTGCTTGGAAAAAATTTACATCTTGTTATAAAATCAGATTACTTGCTTGATTATAAAAAAATGGTGTAATAGTGAAATATTTTGTTAAATGATGAAAGTAAAATAAGATTGCAAAATTATAGATGTATGATCTTAAAGTTTTATATATTATATAAAAGGATACGGAAATATTAAGTTTTCGTTTCGAACATTTTATGTACATGTTATCCTAGTTTTAAGTATTATAAAGCCGATTAGAATAAAAAGGGAGTATATGTCAAAAATATGGTAGAGGTACAAAAAAATTGTTATATTATTTTCATATTCTATTTTTTATATAACTATGCTGAGTATAAACTGTATAAACTGTATAAGCTAAGTACAAGAAATATAAATATTCCAATTATGGAATCAGCGAATTAAATAATTTTACTATGACATATATTTATACATTTATATTTACACGTGTATGTTATATAAATACATAGTTTGAAAACAATTGTCAGTTTAGATCGTAATTAATAGCAATCATAAAACTGAAAAGAGTATATTGAGACGAAAGAAACAATTTTGTAGATACATCCAGGAAAAGCAATTAAACAGTAATTAAATTTGAACAATGCCACATTGTTCTGTTATAGTTTGTTAAGATTTTTCTGAAATGTCTATAATATGAAAATGTGAAAATTTTTTTGGAACAATATCAAAACTTTATTAAGCTAATATTGTCAATGTTAATGAGAAAATTATGTTAATTTTTCTAAAAAATTTATATGTATCTGATTGCAATAATGTGGCTATAAATTTTTTAAAAATCATTTCCTTGTAATAACTTATAGCGTTTTCGACTGTAATGAGTTTTAATCTTCGAGAATGTTTAATAACATCATATAATCTGCTTTGAGTATAATGATTAAATTGATTATCATGTTTTAAATATTAAATGTTTAACATTTTAGAAAGATATATTGAGAATAATATTATATAAAAGATATTTCATAGTAAATTTATTATTAATAATTTAACATTTTATACTTCTTTTTATTGCTTTTATTGCTTTTAGTCGAAACTGAGTTCATGATATCCATATCCAATGTAATCGATTTTGGAATTAGTTCAAACTCACTATAATCAAAAACATTATTAGTTATATAAATTTTAGCAAATATTTATACAATTTGTAAACCCATCAAGACTGTGCTGGCAGTAACAGATGTTTCCCTTGGTGCGCTAGCTTGTCGCACACTCATCTCCCATGTGTCCAACAATTGAGAAAGAGAGAAACGACGCGGAAGTTTCTCAATGCGGGCATTCAATGCTTTTTGTACTGTACATAAGAATGTTGTTGCATCGTATTCATGCGGTGCCATAACACAACGAGGTGGTGTCGAAGGATAATCTGCTGGTACTGTAACCGAGATTGGTGGAACACATGGGAGATGACGATCGTCGAGCCAACATATCAGTTGTATGCACTTTGAACCACTTTGTTGCGCTGGATCTAAACTGACCTAAAATAAAAAAGTTGCATTATTAATAATTATCGTCTTAGATTATCTTCAAAATAATGTTTAAAAATGTTTAAAGCGTTATTTTGAACGTTACTTTGAACCGCTGGTCCAATCTAGCTATTTCTCCCTGTAATACATCCGGTATTTCACTGGATGATTCCTCTATCTTCTGCTTCTTCAAAGGTGGTGGCAAATTTCTATATAATTTTAATATATATATAATAGAACGTATTATATAAAATTTGTAAAATTATTAAATAAAATATATACAAGCTCTTACTTTATTTCTGGCCCAAACAAGGCATCCAAACAAGGTCCAAAAGTGCGTTGCAGAGTATGATTGATTACTGGACTTTGGAGATGTGCGCTTACGGCTTCCAACAATGGACTGAAAATTTGATGCTCCTTTAATGTCGTTACTGGTGGTCCTACACTGCTGTCTCCTCTCTTGAAATCCAACTTTTCCAAGACAACTTCACATTTTATCAATGTATCTAATGGCATACGTTTGCTAGGATTCGAGAGAATTTCCAAAAGTTTTTTCATCTTGCTAAGCTTATCGACATCTGCGATAGAAAACAAAGAAATATATGAATGGTTTATGTTTATCAAGACAAATTATATTATAAAATATATATAAAATATATTTCTAATATTCTAATATATATAAAATATATATTAGAAAGATGTATGTATATATATATATATATATATATATATATATATATGCATGTAATACTGTTATTCGTATTGATAGTATTTATATTTCCTTACTTCCTTCACTACTCATCTTAGCAATCATTCTTCGCAATGGCTCTATGTATTTGCTCAATTGTCTAACTTTGTCTCTATAAGCTTGATCTTCTTGCTGAGGACTTGGTGTAGCGCCTACTCCCCCAGGAGTATTTAATGAACTACTCGGAGATGGTGCCATACCTAATTCAATGCATCATTAGAGTGTAAATTTCATTTTATTATTTTTCCTTCTCTTCTAATGTCTATCTCAACTAATATGTCTATCTTAATTTTCTCATTATTTAAACTTACCTACAGAGTTCACAGAACGTGATGGTCCTGTCATGATGGCATGTTGGGGACTTGGTGAGGGCACTAGAGCAGGCGAAGCTACCATCTGATTGCTGCAGAAAATAATATTTCTTGTTCTTATTATGTCATAAAAATACGATAGATGATATAATAATATGTTTCTATATTCGTAAAAATTATATTCAAAAATTATATTAATATTACCTTGATGGTGCTCCTAAACCAGCTGGACTTGGAGCTGAAGGAGACGGACTCTGCCTCAAGAATTGATTAGGCGTAACGTTACGAGGACCAGGAAATCCAGTGTTCATCATTTCACCCGGCTAAAGATGGGAATAAAAATCATATTAATAGAATATTATTAATAAATGATAAAAAAATATGATTGTCATATGATTTATCAATTGGAATCATCAATAAAATATAATAAGATTAATGAATAAGATTAATGAATGAATAAATATATTATATACCTTTCTTTGAATATGATTTAACTGTTGCTGCATTTGACCGGGACCTAATTGTCCAGGACCAATTTGATTCATTTGTTGTGGCATGTTAGTCTGTATATTGCCGATTGGTCCCGTAATTTGATTATTCATTTGACCTGGTAACTGATTCTGCATCTGAGACTATGGCATAAACATTAAATGTTATCGCTCGTCTCGTTTTATTTATCTTAACTTTTATAATTCTTTTTAGATCTCTTTTTAGAACTCATTCTTATCATTAAGAAAATGGAGCATACCTGCATATTTTGTTGCATTTGTCCAGCCGCTAATTGGCCCATTTGCCCAGGCACCATTTGATTCATTTGTTGAGGAATATTTCCTTGTCCCATCTGGTTCATTTGTGTTAACATGGGATTATTCTGCATAGTTTGGATCGGGCCCATATGATTCATTGGACCACCAGTTTGCGACGGCATCATACCCATACCTGGCATCTTGTTCTGCATGCCAGCCATATTCATTGGTTGTCCAGGTCGTTGATTTAAGTTTTGCAAAACTAACAAAATTTCGCCACTGTATACTTTTTCGAAAAATAAATTATTTATGGGTATGTTACATTTTAGAAAGCGACAAAAGTTTTAGATTGTAACATTTAGATAACAGAAAAAAAAGTATGTAAATGATTTAAAGAATGTACTATAAAGTACAAGTAAATATAATTTAATGCATATTTTTTAATTATTTACGTTGTTTATATTATTTATATATTTATATATTATTTATATTATTTCATTAATTTATTACGAATTGATTTATTAATGATTTGCATGTTTATTCATTATTAACTTTTTATTATCTTTATTATTATGATAAAAATAAAAAAATCTTAGAAACAAAAATATAATTAAATAATTCTATTCTGAGCTTTCTTGTTCTTCTGAATTGATATTTCTTTCTTCTTCTTCAATAAATCTTTCAAGTGCCTCTTCCAAAGAAAAAGAAAAAAAGACCTGCAATTTTGAACGTAACTTATTTAGATTTTCTTTTACATCTTTTCGTGCTACAGTCTTTTGATACAAGTATTCGTAAGTAATCTCGGAAACTTGGATATCTTTATTTAACTTTAACTTTACGATGATCATATCTTTAATGCATCTTTGCATATCGCTTGGCAACGCATTTTCCGTAAATGTTAGTTTCATCCTTGTAATAATCGCATTCATAGCAAACTGCACATCCTTATATCTCTCTTGCGCATTATATATGAACTGATACACGGTAGAAAGACGTGTCATAAAAACGTCTATCGAGCGTCTCACATTGCGAATTACGTCGAGTACTTTCTTAGAAAATGGATGATAGGTGCCGGATTTGAGTTTGCCTCTGAGGTCAATCGCTTTCGGCACGAAAGAATAACCTGGACTGATGTACCATCTACGTAGCAAACTACGATATGTGAGTATTATTTTGAATCGGAAAACCGACAAACCGAGTGCTCTGTGCCCTTTACATTGGTACACAAACTTAACGCGATTATCGCCCGATTGCACTGTCATGCCTTCCTCCATTTTCGCTTGAAATTTCTTTTCCAAGTCGTGCCGTTGTTTTATCCAATCTTCATGCAATAATTCCTCTTTCCTTCTCCGCTGCATATACCGAGATTCATCATAATATTTACTCTGCGGTGATTGCAATAATAGATTATGAACTCCTACATTATTTTGATTTTGGGAAGCTTCACTTTCCAGCGTACCCATGTATACAACATTCTGAATATTATATGAATCCATTTTTTAATTTCTTAGAATTATATTGTATGTTCAATAGATTTCTTCTTTAAATATAATAATAAATTAATAAATGCCTTTTAATATTTCCACTGGTAACTTTCAACTACCTATTCAATCAATGTGCTCAACTACTTATTGATATTTGATGACGAAAAACAATACAATTATACAATCTGTCCAAGGTCATCATAATATTTACAACTACCAATGCATATATCATTGTCAACGGCTTGGAACAATGTTTTACGTCGGTTAAATAGCGATTCATCTTTTCGATTAAAATCATTCTTTAAAATGCAGTCAAAGTTTCATCATAAATATGTAAATGCAGTCAAACGAATAATAACCTTCTGCTTCTTAACAATATTAAATTAGACTCATTTTAAACATTCGGTCATTTTCGAACATATCATTATATTCAAGCATGATCTTGATTGAGATAATATTGCCATTCTTGAACATCAGCCGAATTATCACAAGAGATTAATTTCCGAGATGATATTAAGGAACAGAAGGAAGGTATTAATTATTCGAACAAAGATATGGAATTACTTAATGAGGCTCTCAAATTTCTACTTAAAGATATTTCTAGAAAATAGATATAACAACATATCCCCCTACTCTTTTGCTCTTTGATATATATTTTGATGGCGCGTACTTTCTGTCTGATTTATGTGAGATATCGTTGATTGAATAGTTGTTTGAGTTGCGATTTGACAGCTAGGATCGCAGTATTATTCGAAGACGAAAAAATTTCCTTCCTCGATACATCACATCGACTATATTTTTTCTTGAACAACTAAGATAATTCATTATGTAAGTCTTGAAACAGAATTTTCTTTTTTCCACATGATTGTTTAATAGAATTCCGGCTTTTTCTCATAAAAAAAGAAAGAAAAAGGTTTTTTCGATTTTGAGACTTGGACTTCGGAATCTCACTTTAATATCGGCTGACTCGAGTTTATTATCGCTTGTAAATGATCGTTACACGTTGACTTATGGTGAACTTTATCCTCTCAAGAATGCCAATTACAATAAAGAATGTGACGCATATATATGTTTAATAGCGAATTTAATTGGGCGCACCAGTACACCCAATCGAATTCGTTTAATTATTCTAATTTATGATTTATAGTAGTAGTAATAGATTTATTCGTGCCTTTCGGTCTTGAATGGCTTGGCACGTGGTGGTGCCTACATCAATCTTACAGATTTTTCTCTGAATATTTGCATATATATAATATTTAACTATTGGGACTCTCCGTCTTCTTCCTTTCGTCTCTAATTTTTCTCATCCAAATTCTTCCTTGGTCCTGCCCTTTCAAGATGCTTCTTCTTGTTAAAACATTCTCTCCTTTCATCTCCTCGCATTCATTTATTAGATGTTCTATCGTTTCTTCATCTTTTCCACAATTGTTCTCTTCTATTTTTCTCCAGAATCTGTTTGCTCTTTCCTCGTTTCCGCATCTAAATCTAGCCACCAACGACTGATCTCTTCCTCTCCTTTTTAGATAATCTGCCCTTATTTCTTCTCATATTTCTCTGTATTTTCTATTATATCTTCCTTCAATTAATTTCTCGTATTGCTCTTGCCATTGCTCTTGTCTGTCCATCTGTACCAGTGACTCTGCTAGTAGTTCCCCTCCTATTATTAATCTCTCCTCCTTTGCACTTCCAATTAGTTTTTCCAGGTTGTCTCTAGTTTTCCTCATCTCTCTACTATATAACGTCAAAAATTTTTAACGTTTTGTTGTTTAGCCATATTTCCCTTACTTGGATATCCCTTTCTTCTTCTTTCCTCTCTTTCTCCTTTGAACCTTTTCTGACTCCCGTTATTATTCCTCCACTCGCCCTTTCTTTATTCTTCTCTTTCGTCGCAAATTGACATCTCCAAATAAATGTGTCTGGTAGTTTCTCTTCTATTCTGTTCCATTGCGCTTCGTCGGCCCATGTTTCTATTAATCCTACAAAGTCGAATTTCTCTATGTATTTCCAGAATTGTCTATCCTTATTATAAAGACCTGCAACATTCCAAAAGCACATCTTAAAAAAGTTTTCCTCTTCCTCCTCTCTCCTCTCGTCCATCCTTTTCTCCTAATTGAGCGTCTGCTTTCGCAGACTTCGAGAGAGGGCGGACTTTCACTTTTTTCTGCTTCCCTTCCTTCTCTCCGGACCTCTTCGTATCTAAAGTTCCGCAGTTTCTCCTGCTCCAAAATTTTGCCTCCTCGAACTCTCCTTCTTCTTTCCATTTAAATCTTCTCATTTATTTTCAGTTTCTTGTACCCGATTTTAACCTGTGCACCCTTATCTCTTTCTGCTCTAGCCACTTGCACAATCTCTCTCTGAATATCTCTCTCCTTTTTCGTTAAATCGTTGTCGATAAATATTCTCTTGTCCCTTAATTTGTTTTTCTTCATCATAACCTCCTTTTTCTGCTGCTACTCTCTAAATTTAACTACCATAAAACTCCTTTTCCTCCTCTCACCCAATATGCATCCTCTATCAGTGCCTCCACTTGCAAATTCTGTTTTACAATTTCCTCTGCAGCTTCTCTTGGTGTTTCCCTCATTGGTATGTCCGCTTCCTTTATTACTATGTTATTTCTTTTCTCTCTTCTTTCCCTTGTATCCTCCTTCCGTAACACTTCCCTTATTTTCTCCTTCATCTCTTCGTTTTGATCCTTTTTTGATTCCAATTCTCTTATCCTCATCTCGAAATTTCATTTTTTCCCATTCTTCTTGCTTTTTCCTCCACTCCTCTTTTAATTCTTTCATTTCTCATCTTAATTCTTTCTTTATATCTTCCGTGTCCCTTTTCACTGTCAACAGGATTTCCATTAAATTTATGATTTATATTCGAATCTTTATTTTATTTTATGTCTTTTTTACTTTGTGTTTAAAAATATTTTTACTAGATGTAACAATGATGAGATGTCATTTTTATAACTAATTCAATTATATTTTTTATTTTTTCTTTAATGTCATTTTTTATTATAAGTTTTAATCCGTTTTGCTTCTAATTATTCGTTATGTGAATCATTTTTATAAATTGTCATCAATTTTGCTGGAAAAAGTTCTAAAACGTTCAATTTTAAATTTTATTTATCATTTAACTTGTGCATTTTGCTACGTTTAATAAATATTTTTATTATCTTAAACGATACTTATTTTTTGCTCTTTCATCGGCCTCATTTATACTTTGTTCTATACAAGCAATTTACTTGTCTTTTTTTAGTAAGTATTCTTGTTCAAAATTGTAAAATTTATTATATAATAGATGCAAAGGATAATTTTTAGAAAAGTTTATTTATGGCAATCATTATGTTAATTACTTACGATTAGTTGCAGATGGTTGTGGAATTATACCCTGATGATTAGGACCTGGACCACCCATGCCCATCATTTGATTATTTCCCGTGCCCTGACGCGCTAATGTCTGAAGGGCACCAATTGGATCGGGCATACCTTGATTGTTAGTACCAGTATTACCTGGTGCATTACCAGCCGCACCTTTCTTGGTATCTACAAAAAGAATATTCAATTACATTGAAATAAAATATAAAATCTCATGCAAAAGTAATAAATAATAAGTAATGAGACTGATCTTTTTCTAAACAAAACTAGACATTAAAATTGCATTTGGAAGTTTGAAATTTTTGCAACAAAATTATGTAATAAAAAATTAATTATATAATTTATAAAATATTACTCATTTCTCGAACATGAAGAATTAATCTGGCGACAAAACCCAAGTATTCTTCCTGCAAGAAAAAGTTAATATTAGCAGAGTATTAAATATTGAAAAAAATCACTAGATAAAATATAATCCATTATATAATAATTATTATAATTTATATAATAAATAATTTTATATAATAAAGATAAATATTGAAAATAAATCTAGTAATATATTTTTTTATTATAGCTAGACAATCAAAATATTTTTGTCACCAATCATATGCTAGCCATGTTGCAATCCCATTGAAAAAGTAATGACATATAGATGATGGCAAAATAAAGGAAACTATTAATTTATATATATATAAATTTAAAAAGAAAATGTTAGGTAAAGTTAGTTACGATTGAAAAATGTCTGTCTCATGTTTTTTATGTTAAAACTTATGGATTACAAACTTTGATGATCTTCAATATTTAAACATAATATAATTTCGGTGGAATTCATACTTTAGATTTCGCTTTTTGGAAGACATGATTCTCCATTTCAATGCTGTTCTTTGATGTAGGCATCCCCGATACTTGTATAGCTTCATCTCTGTGAATAATACATTTGTCATATGTCAGATAAGAAAAAAGAGTTTTTTTTTCTTTGATTACATCATACTTGATTGCATTATGAAATAATAAAAAAATATGAAAAATTTTGAGAAAGAAATAAAAAAAACCTAGAAAAAAAATGTGATTGATAATATATTAAAGCAAAAATGTCTTATATTATTTAATATCATTAATTTATTCGTGATATAAAAAATGAATTTGTAAAATAGTAACATTATTATTTGACATTATTATTTGAATAAATTAATCAAACGTCAATTGACACAAGATGCGTTGCTTTATAAATATAAGTATTGCAACATAATTTACATTTTCGCGATTACGCTCTGCCGGAAATTTTGCGTTTTCCATGAATCGTCCGTGGCCATGATTATGTATTAATTATTTAAAAAC